GAAGGAAAGTTTAGTCCATTGTGTTGAGTTTTGTAAAGTGTTTGAGTTGTGAGGATATTCAAGGGCTGAAGTTTGCCTTGAATATAAAATAATGAATTTTATATGTCAGGCGTAGGGTGCAGGGCTTGAGTGTACAAATTGGTTGATTATAAAAATAATGAAATCTTGTATATGTCAAGCATTGGGGGAAGGGCTTGAATATACAATTGGACGTCGGGGGAAATGCCTGTTGAATAAAGTGGAAACTGAGAGTTTAATTTAAAAAAATTGGGTTAAGGGATGAACGGGAGTTAACTCATATTCTAAGGTATTCAGAGCCAAGTGGTACAAGCATGGTATGAGACGTGTAGGCCTAGATGCCTTATATATGTGTTGACAGGATTAAAAGGGAGTGAGTACATTCATCCATCTCGTTTGCATATATTTCATGCATTTGAAAGAATTGTTACAATTTGATTATTTTAGTTTTTGTTGTGAATTAATTTGTGTATTATTTTTATTCCGCTGCGTATTCAATAAATTTTATGTAAGATTTTGTTGATGTATGGTGTAATCGTTATAATTTAATTTTATTTTCCACCATATAAATTTTATTTCTATAAATTTTATTTTATTTTCCACCATATCTTGGTTGTAGAATTTATTTCTATAGCTAAGATATGGCTTGAGTATACAAATTGGTTGATTATTAAAATAATGAAAACTTGTATATGTCAGACATCTGGGGAAGGGCTTGAATATACAATTGGGCGTTAAGGGAAGTGCTTGTTTAATAAAGTGAAAACTGAGAGTTTAATTACAAAAAATTGGGTTAAGGGATGAACAAGAGTTAACTCATATTCTAACGTACTCGGAGCCAAGTGGTATAAGCATGGTATGGGACGTGTAGGCTTGGGTGTTTTAGGTATGTGTTGATGGGATTAGAAGGGACTGAGTACGTTCATGCATCTCATTGCATACATTTTATGTATTGGCAAGAGCCACTCATTTCAATTATTATTTTAGTTGGTACTTTTGTTATGAATTAATTTTGTATACTAATATTTTATTTCCGCTGCGTATTCAATAAATTGTATGTGGTAAACTCAAGCTTTTATTATGTAAGATTTGTTACATGATGTATTGTGTAATCGTGCCAAGTTATTTTAATTTTTCCACCATATCTTGATTGTAGAATTTATTTCTATAGTTAAGATATGACTCATATCCTAGTTCATGAATAGTCTTTATTCGCGGGTCGGGGCGTGACAAGATGCATGAGAACTAAGAACAATTAACCGACATAAATAAAACTTGTAAATTTAATTATTATGAATATGCATTTATGGAACATGTTCAGAGCATACAACTAAACCGAAACACTAAAAAGGAATAATATAAAATTGAATGAACAAGGAGATGGATCCTACACCAAGAGTACTCGAAGATAGAGATGGGTCCCACAATCGAAACCTAATCCTTCAACCATAAACTATGCAACATAACTGTCCATTCCCAAATTGTCCAAATAATGGGACAATTCAAGATTTAATTGGACCGCAGTCATGCTTTCGCATCCATGCACGAAATCCAACTAATCCTCGAATGGGAAACTAAGGTTTACTAAAAATAAAAAACAAGTACAAAGTTAATTTTATTTAACTTCATACATCACAACACATATTTGTATGTCACGTACAAATTTGACAACATAATATAAATATAATTTCACAACACAATATAAACATAACAAAATAAGTTCAACATAATTTAATTAATTTGATATTTTTAAAAAATAAAACGAAGAAAATACCTTCTCAATCATTCTCCACCAATCGCTAATCACGCACAATATCCCTATAGACAACGAAATTAATAGCGTCAGTATGAATTTACATTAATACTTTTACCCTAACAAATAAAAAATAAAAAAACGCTTACCAGACTTACCGAGATAGCTCAATCAACTTAGATAAGAAGATTGAGGGAGTATTAGATGATGAAATTGAGAGAAAATGGAAATGACGGATGCCGGATTGAGCAAAATCGAAGGGATGAGGGCAGAGGCACAATCTGCAATTTTTTTTTGCAGTTTACCTCTGCACATGGCTAAATCCAAATTAAAAGCTTCACTTTTGGACGAATGATTTTGCGTGACGAACAAAGGTTTTCATCGTGCAAAAGTCCTTTGCATGACTAACATAGTCTTTGTCGCGCGAATAACATTTGTGCGACAAAAAAAGAAGCATTCATCGCACAAGTTTACCTTTTTATTTTATTTTATTTCCTTTACTTTATAATTTATTCTTTTCAACAAATTACACGATGAAAACATGTATCGTCGCATAATGCATATTTTTTTAATTTGTTTTTATGTTTTATTTGTATATATTGTAAAATTTTATTTTATTATAAATCAAAAACTCAAACCTAATTAAACAATCTTATTTAAAAAAAAAAAAAACAAAAACAAAAAACAACCCTCCTCAACTTCAATCCTCCCTCGCCCGCAACACATTGAACTTCCACTACCAGAAACTCTGCTTGAAAAGCTCATCCACATAAATCTGTTGCTTCTCATCGGTTTTATCAACATCCCAATGAACCTACATTAATGCCAATAACAATAAATTAGTAATTTAAAAAATATTATGTTTTAACAAAAATAATTATTTATTATTTACAACAAACTTACCGATAACTGCCTCGTGCTTCTTCAACTCCTCAGGACCATTTGCTTTTCCTTGGATTTGGGTTTTCCTTCGATTTCTACACTATCCAAAACTTTGCCTCTCGGCGTGGATCAAGCTAGTGTTTTCTCTGAGTCGCGATCGCAGCTCTGTCCTCCGCCGTCTGTCACTGTAAGTCCTTTTTTTTATTTTTCCAGAATTTTCAATGCATCGTTTTCTCTTCGTGTCTAACTTTTGTGTGTCTCTGCTATAAAATGTTGACGCCGAAGGTTTGTTGCTGAAAAATTGCGGCTGCAAGTTTTTTCAGATTTTCCAATTTCGTTGCAAAAAAAAAAAAAAAAAATCCTCCATCGACCAGCGATTTGTGGTGAGTTTCCCTTGCGGTAAACTTTTCTTTTTGTTTAGAGTTATGAGAATTCTTATAGAAAAAAAATTAGAAAAACTCAAATTATAATTTTTGCTTTAAATATGTTTTTAATTTGGTCCACCATGGTATGTTTGTTAACAGGAACCTAGAAGAGTCTCAAATTCAGTTTCGAACTCTGACTAAAAATGGAACTTGGTGCCATTAAATGATCGTCCTTAGCCCTTAAAATTCAAGTAAACCCATGATTTTTACATTACTGCGTTCGTTTTTTCTACTAATTATTGTTATATGAATTGTATTCTTCTATTAAAAATGATTAATTAGATTGCCCAAAAAAAAAAAAAAAAAACCTCAGGCATTGTAGGTTTGGGATGATAGTTTAAAATCAATATGCTTATTAGCCAGTCAGAGAACCTAATTCGGCAAGTGGGTTTTAAAGTTTCAATCGTTTCGTTATGTGTAATTTTCTTGCTCTGCCTACTAAGAATCTAATAACCAAATGCTTAGTTATTTTCTCCTAATGGTTTTCAATTTGTTGTAGGTAAACGAGAACTACTATGCAGCAGGGGAAGGGAAGGGAAGTAAAAATTATAAGGAAATGCGTAAAAGTTACAAGCTTTTAATTAAAAGTAGAAATGGAGTGACACCAAACAAAATAGGTAAAACTAAACACTACTTTCTTTCTATTTAAATATAAATCAATTGATTAAATTTGTGTCTATACAAGTTTAAAATGAAGTTATCTGTTAATTTTAAAAGAACTATGCATGCTGGATTTTTATAGAAGTGTCATGAAAGTTTTATACCAAACTTTTTACAGGAATTAAGTTGATTTAAGTATGGGTGGTTTTGTATTTGAAATCCTTTCATTTCTCATACATCTCCTTTTTTTTATTTTTTTATTGTTATTGTTTGGCTTCCGAGATTTGAGAAAATTAGGACATTTAAAGATTTTGATTTCATTTTAAATTTTCTTAAATTTATTGATTATTAGATGACATAATTTGTGATATACTGTAATTGATTTGAGCAATTATTATTAATTTTAATTATTCATGGTTTGAGCGGCAACGCGATGAAATGGGTATGAATAACATATTTTGTGTGTTTGAATCCTCAATGAAGTTGTTTACTTCAGTAATTGTGTTTGTTTGATAATAGGGATCTTATTTAAAAGCAAGGAAGAAGAATGAAACTAGATTATTGTGGGGCTCAGGAAAAACTATGCTTCTTTACAAGAGAAATTTACGAAATAAGAGTTGGATAAGATGGTAAGTAGATGGGTTTGATATTCAATGTGGCTAATTGAGTTAACTTCTGTACATCATTAAATGTTTGAATATGTCTATCAGGCTGCAATGAATTTTTTATAATTCATTATATAGTTTTCAAAAAGGTCGTGCATAATTCTTGCTGAACTTGGTTTGGATTTCTTTTGTTTACGGATGAAGTGAGTTACTCACAGTTCTATCCAGTTGGTCATGTTCCCATCGTTGCATGACTTTTTGAACAGAAAACAAGGTTTATTATTTCAATTTCCACATCCATGTTTGGTAGATGTTGATTAATCTTATCCGTACCTGTTACTATTTTGTGGCTATATATGATTTATTTGACTTCCCAATTTTATATAATTAGTACTATTGAAATACATTTGGCATACGTTAATTCTACCTTTCTACAATTTCTCATTGCTGCTTAAGTGGAACAAAATTAACTCAAACATTGCTTATGAAGAGAATGAAGTTGTATAATCTTTCATGAAATTTTTAATTCCGCAGTAATGTGCGGGTACAAATATCTAGTATATGCAAAAAGAGCAAAAAAGTGAAACACTGTTTATAAACACAGTGTATTTCCGAAAATGCCCTCACTTTAATGGTGTAATTTCAATGTTGTCTCGAGCGTCCACTTTGAATCTGGGTCGTCCATGTTTTTAGACACTCTGCTCGGGCCGTCCATTAAAGAAGGACTGAAAAAGCCGGGGCTTCCCATTTGATTCCAGTACGTTCCATTTGCTTCCCGTACGTTCTTCTTTCCCAACCGTTCCCAAGTCCCAACACGTAGCCTTTACGCACCCCTCCTGCTGCTGCTTTCTTCCTTTTGCTTCTTAGGGATTCTCTGTTTTGATTTTTATCATCCAATTTGTTTAATTTATTGTTAATTTCAGGGTACTACCAGTTTTGTGCTGACTCTGATTACTTCAGAAAGGTATGCCTCTAATTTATGATAAATTTTGGTTTAATTCCTCTCTACCTAGCATACTACATAATCTTTCCAACTTTGACTAGAATTATATCCACAACTCATTTACTGGCTACAAGGACTGAATACAGAGGAATGGTTTAATAATGGTTTTAGAATGGTAAAAGATTGCAGAAGCAGCATGGAATTCAACAGTTGATATTTTGGCTATAATTACTTTTTGACACTTAATGTATTAAAAAAATAGCATCCTATTATATATATGTTACTATGAGTTTAATTTATTTCCTTCAAATTCTTCCATAAAGTGTGAGACCTTTGAGATAGGTTTTTTTTTCTTTCGTTTTTTTTTTTATCTAATTTATCCTTCTAGATGATTTAGTTTATTGGGATAATTTACTAGGATACCAGCATATAGATCACTTAGTTTATTGGAATTTGCTTTGTGGTTTTGCTTTAAGCAAATTAAGTACAATCAAGTGCAATTGTGGCTTCTTCTTGCTCTGTGTTTTGTTTATTGGGTACCTATTTGTGGTTTTCCTATAGGTCCCTAATGTGAAATGGAAAGATGTTGGCGGTGTTAATGATTTGAAGAAATTGATTCTGGATACTGTTCTGAACTTCAAGTATATGCTCTTTGTAAGCAGAAGATCCTATTCAATTCCTTATCTCACTGTTGGATTTGCCATTCAATTCCTTATCTTACTGTTGTATTTTCCATGGGGTTTGGGTGCGCAATTACAGGGAGAGAGAGGGTGGGTGCAATCATTTTCTCTTTCTATATCCTTCCTTTCCCAATTTGCGTCTCTGGTTGTTGGCGTTCGTCTTCCTCCTCAAGGTAAGGACTTTTCAATCAATTTCTGAAGATTTAATTTGGGTTTTATTGTTTTAGTTCGAACATTCACCAATCTATGAGCAATAGTTTCGGATCTAATGGTTTTGTTTTCGAATTTTCCTAGCTGTGTAGTTCTCCATTTTTTTTTTTGCAGCTGAATCTGAAAAATGGATTGAAATTTTTTTTTTTATTGCTGTAGATATATATAACCCAGAATTATTATTATTATTATTATTTTTCATTTGGTGAATTGGGTTTGGTCGTTGTACATTTTTCTCTCCTGCATCTACACAACGTTGTTCTACCATGCCTGGGTTTCGAAGTTCCAAATCCAATTCAACGCTTCATCAACTCCACTTAAAAGGTTCCTGCATATCTTTTTCTCCCCAAATTCTTGGCCAAATAATTTTATAAGATTCAGGGAAATGATGCTAGAAGTGCTTAAGCTTATATATCTGTTTATTTATTGTAACTTTTGTTTTAGTTGTTTTTAGAATGAGTACAATTGAATTGCTTGCCTGATCATTTGGTGAAAGTGCTTCTGTGTTAAATGTGCTTTTCTGTGAATAATCATTTGTTAAATATGCTTTTGCGTTTGAAGATTGACATTCATGTTGCAAGAATTAAGTTGTGCTAGATTATTCTGTAGTCCAACTGCGAATGTGTTGATGAAGAGCTTGAACATGTAACTCTGCAGTTTACGATCAGATAATTATCGGTTTCGAAATTCAAATTAACATTCATGCATTTGAAAATTAGTTTGGGAATGCATAGGCTAATGTTCTTTTTCATTTTATGCGTTCCAAGCTCCAACTGTGTTTAATTCGAGACAATTTGGCTCATTTGTCTTGATTTGATAAAATTCTTGAGTAGATTGAACTAGTTCATTCTGAATTTTCAATTCAACACTACTACATTGTAAAACTGGTTTGCAAAGAAATTGTTTCCAATCCTGCTTAAAATTGACGAATGACTATTCTTGCAGAGTTGTATTGGACAGAACAGCTATCCTCGGGGAAGCTGTAGCACCTGAGAATTTTGAAGGTGATCCGATCAAAGGCCATTTGCAGCTAATGATTCTCAATTTCTCGAGTACACCAGTAAAGGTCCTCTATCTTTATTTCTCGTTGACATTTTTTTTTTCCTTGATAACATAGTTCACAAGGCTTTTAACCTATTATTATGATTACTGTTAACAATTATTCTTAGAGAGAGATGGATACACCAACCAGTGCATTTTCAAGGAGTACTAGAACATCATTTTTGGAATTAGATAACAATACTTGCTATAATTTTGGTAAGGAATCAGTTGACAGTGTGGGGTTCGTGGATTTTGGATTCGGCATTCTCTGAAATTAGCCAAGGAGTGGAAATTTTGATTGGTTTGATTGGTAATTTAGTATGTTATTTAAAATTATGAGAGAAACAGAGATCATCGTATTATATATCAGCATTCAACATTTATGAATGTGAACTATCTTTGTATGTTTATCAATTTATTTTTTCATGGTTTTCAGTTTCCTAAATGAAGTTTGACATTTATGAAATTTGACAATTTATCTTTGCATTCATGCATTTGAATTGCAAATTAGTTTATGCTAAACGCTGTTTAATAATTTAGAGAAAAGGTTTCAATTGTTTGTCATACAATGCAGTTGCAAATTTGATGATTTAGAATTAGCTTATCCATCTTCCATATAATTTCTAATCCCGCTGCAATGCGTGGGCAGCAATTTCTAGTATATGGCTGTTTTGGTATATTTTAAAAAAGGATACATGACATCAGTTTTGTTAATTCTAATCGATTAGTTTCATAGGAAAGCCCGTTTTGAAGAAACTACTTAGGTGGAATGTGTTGATCTGATCCCTTTTGTACATGGATAGCCAAAAGATTTACAATTTTTAATTGGATATTGATTTAATATTTTTGTATGTGAAAGTCTGCCTAATTTTTTTTAATGTTAATAACATTAATCTTCTATGGCATAACCTTTTATATCTTTCAAACATAATGTTTTATACAATTTATATTCCCGTATCAATGGGCGGGCAACATTTCTAGTTCCTTCTACTCTTCGTGTGCTGGACAATGATTATCTTATGTTTGTGGTCTCCATTCTTAACATGCCTGCATTGCCCACTGTTTGATTTGTGACCAAATTCTATTGGGCTTTAATTGATCTCACCAGCCCATTCAATGGGCCTCTTATTTAACCCATTTGAAAAGCCACCTGAGGTGGCTAGGGTGTTAGTTGGCAGCTGATGCTATCTACTGTTTTTTTATTGATGGCAGCAGCGCGAGAAAAAAAAAAAAGAAAAAAGAAAAAAAACAGAAGATTAAAGGGGAGCCGCAGCCCCATTTTGGAGAGAAAAAGAAAGTGTGCTCCTCTTACTTGGTTAGCACTCACTTAATCAAAGTTGTATTTGTGTATTATTAGCTTTGAGCTTTGTATAGAGAGGAAATTATTCATTATATTTCTTTCTCTATTTGTTTTTTTGGCGAGTGAGAGTTAATGGGTGTATTGAGGCGTTGGGTTGTGAGATTGCTAACACTTTGTAAACACTCTCATTTGATTGATAGTGGATTATTGGGTGAGCTTCTACTGCTTCGACGACTTATTCCAATTACACTTGACTGTTGAAAAACCTGGTTAAATCTTGGTGTCTTTTATTTTTGTTCTTGCATTTCATTTGATACGTTTCATGTCGGTTAGTTTGAGTTGGCTTCCAATTGGTTTGGTGCTATCCTAGCACAACACCCACCTTTGTTGATCTGCGTCAGCGGCTCCTCGCCCGTGCGGCACAGGCTGCGCGTCTCCTTGCTTCCTCTGCTGCCCATGCTTTTCTCGCTGCCCAAAAATATCTACCCATTGTGGGATCCTGCAGAATACCGCAAGTGGGTTGCAGTGCCATCCAAACCTTGAATTTCATTGACTGTGTTGTGTAACTCATCCAAAAGAGTCAATCAGTATATTTACCCACCGTGGAGAACTATTTTATGAGGGTTCATGAGCTCGATGACCAGTGGTCTCGAGAAAATATGTATATATACAAAGAGTGTGAATCAGTATATTAGGAAGTAAGTTTTATTTATTGAGAAATCAATGAAATGCGGTTAACAAACTGAAAATTACTCTGTTTTGGTTTGGTGCTACAAATCTCTGTTTATTTTGGAATCGTACTACAGACGACCTTTGTTGGAAGCCAGCCATGTTGTGCTTTGGCCGGTCAGTGCAAAACCAAGTTTAGATTACCTCATCAAAATACAGACTTACAGTTGAACAGAATAAAATATAAGATATAAAGACATTAAGAAATTTATAAGGTTCGGCAAAAACCTGCTTACCTTCCCGGAGAGATATTACTCTTCATTATGAGAATAACAGTACAAGTTATACATGAGTTAAATTAACATAATCCAATCTTAAATCCCTTGTACACCCACTCACAGAATTTTTCCAAGAGCCTCACTCTACCCCAAGAGTTCTTTCACTGAAATACTTTTCACTCTAGCTCTCTTGCTTTTCTCTCAACCCATGTTCAACCTTTCCCATGGGAGAGCCCAAGCATACTAAATGCACAAATATTGCATCTAGTTATAGGCATACAATAGCAACCATGCCAACATCCAAGACCAAAAAGTCTTAAGTTCACATGACATCAATGTCACCTGGCCTACCTAGCATGCACCAAAGTCTATACCTAGCCTATAGAGTACAACTTTTTCTCCATTTGCCATTTAATGCATAGAAAATAAAACATGCACAATTGCGTGCAAGCAAACACAAAGTCAAGACTTGCTTCCAACTTTTCTTGTGGCAGTGAACATGTCTTCTCTTGAAACAAGACTTCCATGCCACAACCGAAAGCCAAACACAAAGTCACCATTGGCTGCTGCCATTTCAATGTAGCATTCAGAAAGTTACACTATCAAAATTGTTGCCAACTCATAAGTATATGAGCCAAACACAACAATCCCACATCGGTAAGAGGGAGAGGAGAAAAGTAATTTAAATAGGATTACCCTATTTTAATTAATATCGAGATTTTTTATGATAAAATCTCATACTTGGCTGATTGGGCAGGTGGTAAAGTGGGGACAGTATCGGTATTGTTGGAGTAAGCTCTCGGCTCAACGACTTGAAAAATTCTACATGGTATCAAAGCCAGGTGATGGGCTCACGTGCACAGCCAGAGGCGTGTTGGAAGCCAGACATCCCACATCGAGGAGCCAGAGGCGTGTTGGAAGCCAGATGTGGGAGGAGCCAGAGGCGTGTTGGAAGCCAGACATCCCACATCGGGGAGGAAAGCAATTTAAATAGGATTACCCCACTCTAATTAACACTGAGACCTTTTGGAGCTGGCCCTCAGCCCATTGACCTAAAAAATTCTACAACCTTTGATGTCAAGAATGGCGTGACTTGGAACTTATAGCTCATTCATGGGGTTTATCCTTTTGGCATGTCCTTCCTTTCGTTGCTTTATAATGAATTTTATGGACTGCAATGTTGGATGACAGTTGGGGATATGTTTCCTTTGCCAGAGCAGTTAAACATTTGTTACTTAAGTTAAATAATGTGGTGTTTTATTTATTTATTTATTTTTATGATATTCTAATATATCGGTAGTCAAGTTTGTTGCAACAATATGCTTCTCCTTTTACATATGAGTTTATAGAGGAGGAAAGCAATTTAAATAGGATTACCCCACTCTAACTAACACTGAGATCTTTTGTGATAAAATCTCACACATGACAAATTGGGCAAGTGGTAAAGTAAGGACAATATTGGTGTCGTTGGAGTAAGCCTTCGGCTCGTCGACCTAAAAAATTCTGCAACCTTTGATGTCAAGAATGGTGTTTGGGACTTGGAACTTCCAGCTCATTCATGGGGTTTATCCTAGGGGTGGGCAAATGGGTATAAGAACCGTGAGTCGGGACGGGTAATCATGGTTTGTGACAGGTACGGGCCGGTTCCTAATTTTTAAAAAGAGAAACTGGTTGGGGAGGGGCGGGGCTTTGGAATGTTAGGGGCAGGTCGGGTCCAAAAGTATAAAAAAAGGGGTACCTGGACTGATCCGTTTGTAACATCCCAGTTTAAAAACGTTACTATCTCCCAGGCCACTTCCTTTTTTCCTCCTCGTGGGCTGTGACAGTTCTCAATCTTAAGAAGATTGTCTCATTGTCTCTCTCTCTCTCTCAACTCGATGCTCTTTCCACTATGAGAATACACACACATACACACACACACACACACACACACACACACACCATTTCCCCGTATTTCCCCTTCCCCCAATCTCTCGAACCTTCTCCCTCATTCCTCTCCTTATTTCTTCTCCTTATCTTTGCAACTTTCCTTCCCGGAGCACAGACACACCACACCCACACCCCACCACGACCTCAACCACAGTGGCACACACTCCAGCGAGCACTATCACCACCTGTGGACCGTTACCCCTCCCTTTCTCATCTCTCGGCGAGCACCATCAGGCAAAGGGAAACCTTGTTTGGGCCATACGAGGCGAAAAACCTATCAAACCCGAGCGGGTTTTGGGATCCGGAGAAAAGGTATTACTCACTTTGATGGATTTGAGCGTGGATTGCAAAGGGAGGCTTAGATTTTGGTAGCTGCGACGACGGAGCCTCGGCTGCAGCTGTGACGACGGAGCTTCCACCATTATTGTCCTTCGATTAGTAAACTTAATTGCATCCACTCCCACGAAGCAGTGGATGCCTGTTGTGGTCAGATTGTGGGTCTCCATGCCTGGAACCGACGTGGCGGTTGAAGTCGGATTGTGCCTATTCTCAGTTTATAAATTATATAAAAAAAAAATTAAAAAAAAAGAGTAGGACCCGTGGGGCGGGGCGGGGCGAGTCTAATAGATAACGGGTCAGGTAAAGCCCGATTCCAAAACTCAAAATCCTTTTACCCGGACTGACCCGCCCCGTTACTTTTTAAAATGGGTAGGTCTGGTTCCTTCAAAAATGGGCCCGGCCCGGCCCGTGCCCAGCCCTAGTTTATCCTTCTGGCATGTCCTTCCTTTCATTGCTTTATAATGAATTTTATGGACTGCAATGTTGGATGATAGCTGGGGATATGTTTCCTTCCCCAGAGCAGTTAAACATTTGTTACTTAAGTTAAATAATGTAGTGTTTTATATATTTTTTTATTTTATGATATTCTAATATATCGGTAGTCAAGTTGGTTGCAACAATATGCTTCTCCTTTTACACATGAGTTTATATCTCATGGTAAGGGGGTTTCCATCTATAATATACATATATATATATATATATATATATCTGAAAATATGACTTTAGCCCATGGAACTCAATTTTCTCCACATAAAACCCAATGTAAATTTTTTGCTCAAATAAAACCCCATTGACTAGACTTCACATAAGCAAATTCATTAATTATATTTGACTTTATCCATTTAAAAATTTTCGGATGCCTAAAACACCCTTATTGAATGTTTAATGTACACAATTAATTCTATACAAATTGTAAGGGAGAATTAATGATTTTACAAAAATAATATTTTGCATATAAATGTAGGGATTTGTTGGTTAGTTTAGCTCTCAAATTCCAATTTACCATTACAACGTGTCCATATTATATATAGGTAAATTATTGTACTTCAAAATATAAAAAAAATAAAAAAAATTGTTGTCAAAGTAAAAATATATAAATTAAAGGAGATAAAAATTGCAGGTAAATTAATTTTAGGACAAAGAAAAAGAAAAGAACCAACTATAGGTAAATTATTTACATATACAGTCTAGATATTTGATTCACATAAAAAATGTAGGTAAATCACGTGTGCATAATTTACCTACTATTATTGAAATTTACCTACTTGCATATTTTACCTACTATTATATTAATTTACCTACTTGCATAATATAGGGAAAATGCCAACAAAACATGAGAATATTATTTGCATATATCACAGGTAAATTGCAAAAAGAAATATGAGAATATTTTGTTTATATAATGCAGGTAAATTACAGGCAATAGGGTGATATTATTTATACAGGTAAAGTAGGGATGTTTAACTATTATATATAAGGAGAATAATTACACCGAATAATAATGTAGTCATTATTTAAGGTAATGCACTAGATTGTTGTAGAAATTAAAAATAAATAAATAGAAAAAACGTCATGATGCTTAATTAGATTTTAAGGCCCTTGATTGAAGCTAATTTTCAAGTGTCGGTGGTGGCAAAAATTGTAAATAATTTGTATTAGTAGGTTACTTATATTCTTATGTGGTAGTTTATTTGATTTTTGTGTTTTTGTTGGATGTTTAATTATATGTGGGTTTAAGTTTAGAAATCATGATTTTTCAGGACTAATATTTAATGAACCCTATATATATATATTATTTTATTTTATTTTTCGGGGTCAACCATCTATAATTTTTTCAAGTTAATGAAATCCATCTTTTACATTTTCGATGCGAATTTGGATTCGGTTTCCCATTTTGGATGCGAATTTGGTTTCCCATTTTGGATGCCAGTGCTGAGATGGTTTACTTTGGTCAAACTATTACAGCTTCTACTTGTCGGCTATCAGCTTAAAATCTGAACACGGCATAAATTGGACCGTGGGAACGATATCAAGCCAGCAGGGTCTAAGATGGAAGCAAGAAGTCTAGTTCCCAGTCAGAGCATCTCACCCTGTACACCTGTTGTTTCCGTACTCATTCAAGCCGCCTTTGGCACCAGACCTAAAATGTATTGGAGTCACTCCAACAGAAAAATTAGAAAATTTTTTGGCATCCCCTTGCGATCTTGCAGAGTACTGCAAGCGGGTTCCGTTGCCTTCCCGAGTGTAAACCGCGCCAAATGTTCTGTGTAGCTCATCCAACGTAAAAGATTAAACCTAAGAGCCAGCTCTAGAAATTTATTTGGCTATAAATATTAATATTGAATTAAAAAATAATAATTAAAACATTTCTCACTCGCTACACGAGCTTACGTATGGTCGTAACTCGTAACAGAAATAAGGAGCTCTTAACATAAGTTGCAGCATTTTCTGATAAAATTTAATTTAAAATAGAGAGCATACAAACCATGAAACCAACACTTTCAAGCCATTATGAACTTCATTAATTAACAAAGTGGTAGTCCATTTCAATAATTTGAACGAATACTTAAAGTCATACAAATATGCATGTAATCTAATATTTTAGCGAATATGATGTTAAATTTTCACACATGCATTATAACCGGTTCAAAATTCTTTATCTCCTAAATTATTGTAATAGTTTCGAATATTCTCCCTCCCTTTACTAATAATAAATTAAAAAAAATCATACAAATATAACAAAATATTATTGACATCAATCATGTATTATGAGCTGCATGATAGAAATATAAGCGGTAGTCAATTTCCACTTCAATCATGAACTGCATTATAAAAATATGTTCAAAAGGTTATTGAGAAAGATGTTTCTTTTGATATATTATTGACACTATACAAAGGTCAATTTCCACTTCAATCATGAACTGCATTATAAAAATATGTTCAAAAGGTTATTGAGAAAAATGGTTCTTTTGATATATTATTGACACTATACAAAGGTCATTGTGAGAGTCAAATTAACTTTCTATATTTATAAAAAAAGATATATATTTATAAGAAGTGTAGAATGATTTTTTTTTTTTTTGAGTGTCAATAACAACACCTTTTGTTTAATTAAAAAAAAATAAAGGATATCAATTGCAAAAGTTTTGCGCATTATTTGAATAGAGTAATGCTAACAGACCATATATTTATACCACATTATATGATGTGGTAAATGATTCATGTAATCATTAGTTAATGAGGTAAAACTATTAATTGACGTGTCATGTACAAATTACTTGCCATATCATATAATTCATCAATGATGATGGAAACTCAACTCAACACTTGAAACATCATCAAGCCCTGAATGCAATGAGCAATAATTTACATTGTGTGATCATGATTACAAGCACACACTAAGTGATTTTCATAGAATGAAAGCACTCATCATTTTCTTTCAAGATAATAATGGTTGGTACTTGTAACGCATAGTGGAGGTTGAAGTTTTGGAGAGATTTTTCAGTATGTCTAGAATACGAATACATACTTTATATGTCATTACACAAGTGGAGGGGTACTTGGAAAAAAAAAAAACTTTCTTCCTACTTGTGACATTTACCATACTGCCCCCCGGACACATTAAAAAACCTCTCGGAAGCATTGAGGTATGGCTGTTAATTGGCATGATTGATAGTAATAAAGTTCTACCGCATGCATTCTTATCTATGAGTGTGGAGGTGTTGCAGCCTTTTATTCGACTTAAACTCGCTTAAGAAACTGAATATGGACACAATGCCAGTTTACATGGTAATAACAGATCAAGCAAAAAGAAAGGAAGGACCAAATTGGCAAGAAACAGATCCGCGGCCCTCAATGACTATATGCTCAATAATTTCCTGTTGCCGTGTTGCGTTGAACTAACTCGTTGACTTACCTTGTATACCTAGGTAAAACATTAATAAAAATTGCTGGGTATATATATTTTTATGTTCAGATCTCTATATATACACAAAGGAAGGTGATCATTTATACATTCGTCCATTGAAAACATAGTTAAGTTTCTATATACAGGTCTCTCTCTCTCTCTCTCTCTCTCTCTCTCTCTCTCTCTCTCTCTAAATAAAGAATATTGAAGAAT